ATCGGGGGGAGTGGTTGAAACAAATCGTGATATTTCGCGAGTGTGATGATAGTGCTGGGGACACGTACGTTGTGGGAGTTGTGCTGAGATACTCAACGAGTAATTTTATCATACTCCATTTTTCGTATATTGACAAAGAAAGACGTACGATCGCGCTTGGTAAATCTGTTCGAACTTTTTCATTTTCTCGGCTTCTCGAATATTTCACGTTTATCGGGGGGAGTGGTTGAAACAAATCGTGATATTTCGCGAGTGTGATGATAGTGCTGGGAACATGTACGCTGTGAGGTTATGCTGAAACGTCCAACGGGTAATTATCATATTTCATTTTTATTATACTGACAAAGAAAGACATATGATCGCGTTTGGTAACTCTCTGTACGAACTTTTCCGTTTTCTCGGCTTGTCGAAACTGAACAATCTCTGTATCGTTATCTATTAACCAAAAACATTTCTTCTTGTTTCAGATTCGATCTTGGTGCCACATCGCGCAACTAGTTGACGGTTCTTGGAACGTGAATGCCGTACCGGAGGACCCGGTTCGGGCCGAGCGGGGTCGGCTTGAAGGTGAGTTGACAAGTTTTTTGTACTTCTCCGTTTAACCAACTTTGCGATATAAAGCTGAGAACTAAGAATCCACTCTTATCTAGCCGTACTTGTTAAATCGAATTTTTAAGTCTAATCAGCGAATTTCTATTTTTCCTGTTCTAGATGTGGAGCGAAACGTGGCCGACCCTAACTGCAAGTCGTTTCGGTGAGTGAGAAAAGAAGAATATCTTAGATTAAGATAAGTTTGTACGCGACATGTACGATATATTATTGATATTGTGGATATACGAAAACCTCGTTTCGGATTAGGCCTTGTTTATTGGTGCTGTTTGTTAGAGTACATCGAGTTTTACAGTCAGTATCCTCTATACAACGATTTTCTGCCGCATTACACATTTCCTCTATATATCGTACGTACACGGAATAGATATTTTACGTAAACACACAGAGAGCGAGAACTATTCCAATTTCCGCGGCGAGCGAACGCATCCGCCGTTGATCGGACGAGAAGCGCATTTGCTCGGTGGCAAATCCCGCCCCGACTGTGAACAAATTGACATTTCGGTCGACCCCCGCCTCGCTGCTCTTTCCGTGTATCTGGATTACAAAATACGGCTAATCATCGGGGATTTGCGCTAAGCGTACACGACACGTCCTTTATGCACCGTTTCTTACGATACTCCGGGCCTGTCGCAACGCCGGTTCAGTCGCCAGTGTGAATTTACAGGGCCGTGTTCCGATGCCACGATCGACATATGCGCCTTCCTCTGCCGATCTGTAATCTCCGTCGGACGCGGTGATCGAGTATCGACGATTAAATATTTGTCTTACGTTCGTCGGACTCGTTATCTGACACTTTGGGATATTTACAGAGACAAACGAAGTACTGAGAATGACAGAGGGACTGTGAGACGGGGACTGTCTCGCCCCCGAGCGATCGTAGATATCTCGATAGTTAGCACGGTACTCCTGAGAGATAAAGGTGTATACACGAAGGAAAATGGCATTCAATCGATCCTCGTCGGTAGAAACTTAGTCACGTGTGAAGCATCCCGCGAACATTGAAGAATCCATTGATGAGGTCTGCGCGCACGTCATTCTCAGCGCCTCGAGTTGATGATAACGCTATTCGCGCTCGTCCCTTCGTTCCTTTCTGCCCTCGGAGGAGATTTATACGCGGGAGGATAGCAAGGATCCCTCTCTGCGGAACGTTGAAAAATAATTGTCGTACAAGTGACGACTCCGATTAGTGTTCCCGGGCCAGAGGAGTAGTCGGTGATCCTTGTGGACAGCGGCTGCGGCGATATAACTTATTTTACCCGTTAATCAGTAACTTCGTCCGATAATAAGGCTAATCGGAAGCACCGATCGTAACGCTAAATAATGGCTTCGCGTCTTGTTCTTCCTCTCGGGTCCTAATCGATCCATTAATGTATGTTCTTCTCGCGATTCGGACCGCACATGTACCGACACTTGTCTCTTATCGTTCAATTTCTCTCTCTCTCTCTCTCTCTCTCTCTCTCTCTCTCTCTCTCTCTCTCTCTCTCTCTCTCTCTCTCTCTCTATCGTATACATATACATACACACACGCGCGTATACACGAACATACATACATACATACATACGTATGCTTAAACTATAAACGAGCAAACGAACAGCGTGCAATAACGTAGGAATGCCGGTGACGTTCGCGTCGTAATTTCCCGGAGCGCGGACGTCGGGAAATCATCATCGCGTCTGCATCGGAAAATAGTGCGAGTGCGCTCAAGGAGCGACGTTTCCGTCGCTCCTGGAGTTTGCGGAGAAATTGGTTAGCAACGGATCACCCGGGCGTCGTGCGGACGACGGCGGGAAACTTGTTCGAGAGTGAAAGAGACGCTCACAAGTAAACCTCGGGGAACGTCAGACGCCGATTTGTTTCCAATTTTTTATAGTTATTTTTTATATCAAAATATGAAGAAACCTGTTATCATTTTTAGCTTAAATTAATTTTTTCAATTTTTTCGAAATTTTTCAAGTTTTGCACAAGTATACTATTTTATACATATTTAAAACAATATTTCTTAAAAATATATATATCTGATTTGTTGAAACTTGCGCACACATGAATTATGAATGATTATGAATCAGAATCATTTTGTAAGATTCCAAGTGGCGGATCTAATATGGCTGACATTGTTGGAAAAGCGTTCGGTTTTACGCGCTACATTCGACGTTGAGTAATCTTTCGGCTCACTGTCCAGCAAACAAGCTCATTTTAACGTCAAAATCTGATAAAAAATGAACAAGAAATGAACAAAAGACTTCAGGAATTTCGAAAAAATTGAAAAAATTAATTTAAGCTAAAAATGATAACAGATTTCCTTATATTTTGACATTAAAAATAACTAAAAAACATTGGAAACAAATCGGCGTCTGACGTTCCCCGAGATTTACTACTTGTCAGTGTCGGAAGGTGCGTTTTCGGAAAGTCCATCGCCGCGAGCCATGTGCGACGAGCACTCGACGAGCCACGTGGAGAAAATTTGGTTGGAATATAAAATACGAGTGTGTCGTTGAAAGAGCGACCCGAGTCGTAAATCGAAGTAACACGCGCGAGTGTTGAACGGGGACGTTCTATGTGGAAAAGAGACGCGACGAGACGCGTTGCTCGCGCGCGGGACAGTTGCTCCCCTGCTCGCCGGGAGAGATGCTGAAGAAACGGTCCTTCGTTCAGGGACTCGTCAAGTATTAGGCAGGTACTGTGTTATGTTTCGCTAAAGTCCTCCGCTCGTTGTCCGGAGAATCGCCTGGGATTCGCGGGATTAACGTCGCCTCTCGTTAATCGCTCGGGCTCTCGACGCGATATCTCGCCACCTACGGTACTTTCATATGTTTCGTGAGTTTCGACGCGTCTCCTCGAGCGCGTCTGCTTCCTGGAAACACGGCTACTTTTCTTTAATAATCTTTAATTATTGGGACTACACGTACGGCTGAGAGACGCGTAGCAAGCTGCGCGAGATTCTCCACGGGGAGAGAGCGGATCTCCTCCTCCCCGCGCGAGTACAACGGAGTGAATCAGCGCGATTTGTTTCCTCCCGACGGGGGAATCGTCGGGAAGAGTGGGACCACATCTTCAAGTTTTTCACGCGTAGTGGCGTAGTGGTGCTCGCGTTGGAACGTCGATGCGTGCGATGGCACGCGTTTAATATCAAAGAAGCTCCGCGACGATATTACAAAGTTCGAAAGTTAAGCTCGGAACGTACTCGGCGAGAAACTTCGCGATGGGAAACCGCTGTCGGAACAGGCCGATTACCTACCTACACGTCATATGTTTCAACTTTCTACATCGCTCGATGCGCAAATATACGCCTAACGTCACGTACGAATAATTCGAACGGATCACTGACGCGCCGCGTCACTGTGATTCAGCGAAAACGTCGTCAGGTTCTCAGGAACCCACGGGCGCACATTTCGAACGCCTCCGCTCGAAATTAGCTCGAGGAAAAAAATGTCAATCTCTCGTTACGCAGCGCTAACCGGCTGCATAGCGTACACGTACACACACACACACACACACACAATCACGCTACACTTGGCGTATCTACGCGACAGAAATTAATGCGGACAATTTTGCAATTGAGATTAATCGCGTCGGCGCTTGGCACCAGTCACAGCAAAGCGCGACGGTAACAAAGCGATGAATCGAGGCTTAGTCTTACTCGCTCTATCGCGCTCGCAGCAGCTCTCTCGCCGCTCTGTCGTCAAAACTGCAATTCTAACGAGCGCGATGCAATTGACAATGATAAAGCCCACGCGAGGCCGACGCGACGACCGACCGCTGCTCTTCGGTCCTGCGGAATGAAACACGTCGATCGCGCGCGCGAAGACAATGTCGCGAGGGTGATATCGCGGTCTCGGGGTAGTCGGGGGAATATCGAAAATACTTTACAGGCATCAGGCCGACATCGGTAACAACGTAGTCGATTGGCTCTTCGCAACGTAGCACGATGTGTAACATGCAACAGTTACGCACGTTGCATCGAGTGCACGGCGTGACAAATCGATAGGGGCCGAAGTAGGCGTAGACATGCAAGAGAGAGAGAGAGAGAGAGAGAGCTCCCGGTCGCATCTGATCGATTTAAATATCCGACGTCGCGATAGAAACCCCACGCGTCCGCGCGGCTATAGAAGCGGCGGTCTCGATAAACGCGAGAGAGCGCATCCGGAGCGCTATGTTTGCGTATCGCGGTGCATGATATTTCAATTGTCCGCCAAACGTGCCTTCGTTCCTCTCGCTGCGCTGCCGCGTTAAGTTGCACGCGTGACTTCTGTGAAATCGAAAGAATCCTCTCGGCTCTCGGCTGCTTCCGCGCGACGCAGGAAGCCGGCGTGTAATCGCGCGTGAGCAGCTTCCTCCTCGTCCTACGTTGGTGGAACGAGCGCAGATGTTTTTTTTTATTTTCTCTCTCTCTCTCTCTCTCTCTCTCTCTCTCTCGCCGTAACACGCGCGCATCATGTACGTTTTATGGGTAATAGAATATATAAATGCATAACGCGCGACGCGCGCGCACTCTCGCCGAGGCTGACTCGCCGCGCTTAATTAGGCGTCGACTCTCGTTTTGTGCGTGTAACAATCAGGTAGAAGTCCTGCCCGTCGGGAGAAGCGGTACCGGAGCGACGTTCTTACAGAAGGGCGCAGGCGCTACCGTGCATCACCTCGGAGATGAACATCGGTGTCCCGGCGCTGAGGCCGCCGTCGCCCTTCACTTGCTCGTCCTTCTCGTAGTCGCAGTCGAAGTAATGGCTCTGCGGCAAAACGAAATTTTCATCCATGCGATTTTTAGCCCCGCTCGCGTGCGTTTCGTTTGTTCTCAACCCGCGAGTCTCGAGTCCAAGCTTCCTCCCTCTCTTGTTTTTTTATCATTTCTTCACTGTGGCCAGTAGTACGGAACGAAAATTCACACAATTGTGCTGCGGTTAGTCAAAGACCGTTGGCTTTACTTGCTCGACCACCGTGGCGAACAGAATTTCGAGTTTGAGGGTTGTTAGACATAATGGAATTTAATGCCCGAGATGGTCTGTCGAGTTGATCTTCAGGTGCTTCGTGGCCAATGAAAGGACTCCATACAGCATCCGAAGATGAACTTGAGACGAGGCTCGATATAAGAGCCGATTTTAAAGGCGAATTATTCTCGACGGAAAACGCGGACGCGTCTCTCGCACACCTACCTGGCAATCCAAGCACCTGCAGTGATCGCTCATTTTGCAAGTGATGCCCCACTGTTTCGCCATCGCCTTGTAGAACTCTTTGCTCGATTTGTGTAGAATCTTAGGTCCTTTAGCCGCTCTCCTGTCGCCGCCGCCGCCGCCGCCGCCGGGTCCGCCGCCGCCGTCATCGCCCGCGTCTCCACCTTCGGCGTCCCCTGTGCTCTTTTCGTTCTCCCTGCTTCCCTCCTTCGCCTCTCGTCGTAACGCGACGGTCGACGATCCCATTCGTGTCTTGACCGTAATGTCGGTACAACAAGACGCTACAGATCAGTCCATTATGACGCGGCGCGGCGCGAATTATCGCGTGATGGATCGCCCGCGAGTCGAGCGCGATTCTCGCACAATTGCGCGTATAGAGCGCGCGTTGCATCTCCCATCGACGCGAGGTGTCGCGAACATTGACACGTTTGAACCCCCCGAGGCGCGTACATCCCGTTCCGCGATGTACTTATCCGGCGGCGCGTTGAACGCGCGCGCGCGTCGTCGCTACGTACGATCCATCGCGGATGAGAAAGACGCGCGCAGATTGTTTGCGCTTGATTCGCACGCAAATACCTCACGTTTCCCTCCTCTTTAACTGAATCCCCAAACGTGCGACGCGCGCCGAATCGACGGAGTCACCGGGCGGAATCTCCGCACATTCGCGAGCACGCGAGGCACTCACCTCCTCAAGAACGTGCTCGTACGAAGGCGGCGGCGAGCTGGGGATCGTCTGCTCGTTCCTCACCGACAAACAGTTCTTGTCTTCGGCTTTGGTCTCGGCCGTATCCGCGTCGTACTCGTACTCGTCCGCGTCCGACGGCAGCGACGAACGATCGATCGGCTGCCGTTGCTGTTCCTCGGCCTCCACGCTGTTGCTGCGGTTATCGCCGCTGCTCCGCGACTTCAGCATCTTCGAGAAGCGTAACTTGAACGGCGCCAGCTTGACGGATTTCTTCGTCGTCGTTGTGCCTGCGGCAGGGAACGAGAGAGAAAAGGAATTGCGAGGGACGCACGATGTATATATTTACGCTCTCTCACAGGACTCGGAGTCGCGGGGAGAAGCGGCTCTACGCCTGTATCCCCGCGGAATCCTCATTCGCGCGTATGTGTCTAGGTGTGTAGGCGCACCCCGCGAGAGCGGGTCACGCAACTGCACCGGATGCATCTGTCGTTGACCCACTGACCGAGTTTGCGGGTATCGGCGGTCGACGTACCGCCGCTCGCTCGCTCTCTCTCTCTCTCTCTCTCTCTCGCGCTCTCTCTCTCTCTCTCTCTCTCTCTCGCTCGCTCGCGCTCGCGCTCGCGCTCTCCCGCTCTCGACTTGGCGCATTTGTGGCCGACTTTACAGACGCGAAGCTCACCCCGCCCTTTCCGGGAAGGAAAGGTCGGTGGAATCGAGGACGAGAGCACGAGGGATGATTCTGATGCGCGCCGTGTCACTCGATATTATCATTTCGATTCGATGCGACGCGCCGCGCCGCGCGCGATAACGTTCGTCACCACTCGTCGCGTTTTTCTCCCTTACGTGTCGGGTCAGATATCGACGATTGCCTGTCGTCACGTTAAATTTGCCTTATGAGTACGTAAACATGTATGATGTGTGATCATGCGTATGTGTGTGTAATACATTTATATTTCACGAATATGTCTGGAGAGATGTTTACGATTGATTCGTACTCCAATCTATACATTGATCTCATCGAGCGAGCATCGTAATTAATTAACGAAGTTTCGCTGTCGAGCGTGACGGGTAGACGGCGGATAATAAGATTTCTAGTTCGATGTCGCGAGATCGGGGTAAACAATGGAGATTGGGGCGTCGATCTTTGCCGGGATGTCGGCTTCAGGGCAGAAGTAGCTAATCAGATCCGAGCCAAGTCGCCTGGTCTTCGCGTTGCTGTCCGCTTTGGCCGCGAATAAACGGAGCGCAGCTCGCCTAAGGTCAAACGTCGCGCCGAATATATCACAATATTCCGCCGCCGTGATGGCGGGAAACAATGATGATAAAGTATCGATATTCGCCGAAAACAACAAACCAGACTCCCGACGTTGCGCGTAAACTTCCAAGGCGCGGCGCGCGATTAACGAAATTAAATGCGAAAGGTCAGATCGTGAAAGAGGACGGAAGCGATATTGTTACGAAGCTGTGCTTCGGCAGAAGCTTTATCTCAGCGTCAACGGTAGGCAGGGGGGAGATGTTTGCGAGAAAGGGGTTTCCTATATACGAGGGAAGATTGCGACTCATAATCGAGCGAAGAATCTGCAGTTGAACGGTTCTACGTTTGATCCGGGACGCCTTCAATAGTTCTCCGATCATCCAACGTGGTATCCCTCTGAAAGGTACATCAGAATGCTGGCTGGCGGGATCCAAGTTACGCCTCCGGAGTCTTGCAATTGACGAAGTCTCAGCAGCAGACGAGCTATAGCGGTTTTCCGATACGTATTTGCAAGTGGAACAGACCCGTCTGAGGTCAGACGCCGTGACGCGGAGCCGTAAACGGCAGCTGTCGTTTGGATTTGGCGGCGAGCGCTGAAGATTACGACGGTTCGGACAATGCCGTTGTATTCCCCTTCGCCTTCGCCATTCTTCGCATGGTAGAATTATGCTCCTCGAAATGGTCCATCTCTCTCTCTCTCTCTCTCTCTTTCTTGAGGACACAAGCCCGGAATTACAGTGTTTAGCGCTCTCACGGCGAAGCCGTGTAGCGTGAAAAATGTCGCGTGAACAAAAAAAGAAAAGACTCGACGAATCCGAAGATACTCGAGAATCTAAGCGCGATCTCAACGATCTCAGTCGGATCTCGCGCTTCGATACGTTACACCACTTACGTGCCCTTTGACCTCTATTTCCCCAACTTCAACGAGAGATTATATTAATAACTCTCAACCTCAGATCCCCCCCTTGTATTATCGATAAAAGACACAATTAAGAAACTCGGTTACTAAGGCATAGTCGACGTATAATTATTTCTGAAGATTCTCCTTCGGGGCGTAAGACTGTTTCACGCGAGAAATACAATTCTCGGAAGCTGCTCGTGCACGAAACACGTGCAAATGCGCGGGGAACTTGAGCGATAAGGCGCGCGGAAGAGGTGGACGAGCGCGAAGCTCCGATGAAAAATTGTATTCGCGGAATCAGCGTGCCAGACGGATAAGGCGACGTCTTATCGCACAAATGAAACAGGCGACAAAGTAGGTTGCATCGGTCGGTCGCCGGGGTCGCGGCGAGGACCCACGCGCTCCCTCCCATCCACCCCCTGGAACTGGACGGCGTGTCAGTGGCCTGAGCTAGTAGCAACGCACCCCCATCCTGGGCCAACACCCGTCGTCCTAGTTTCCCTCTCGCTCGGTCTCTCATCCACCCCCGCGATGCTTTCATCCCCGTCCGCGAGTGTGACCTACGCAAACCCTTCTCTCTCTATTCCGCGATCTCTCTCTCTCTCTCTCTCTCTCTCTCTCTCTCTCTCTCTCGCTGGCCGTGTGCACGTCTACATGTGTCGCCGCGCGTCCGTCTCCTCTCTCCCTGCTCCTCGCGTTGCATTCGCGCGCGTCTCCGCACTGCTCTCCCTTTTCTCCTCCCATTACGGCTCGCGTGTTTACATCTCGGTGCCGAGCGATCGCGTCGAGCTTACCCTCGGAGTCGAATCCGCTCGACCGGTCGACGCGTACCGTAAATCCGCTCGTATTTTCTCACATAGCTCGCGCCCGACGCGAATTGCGAGCGGAATACCTCCGCATCGGCCAGCCGGTGATTTATGGGCGTTCGATCTTTCTCGAGCTGACCGAATTACGTCTCATGATTTAAATACAGCGAGCGGGCAAATCCAAGCACCGACGCACCGATCGCCGTGGTCGATCGCGACGAAGATTAAGTGAATTCGCTCGGAATATACGTCGTCATTTAGGTTCGCTCATCGACGACCTGCGTATCGCGGACACGTGCATCGAGCACGAAGGGGGTGCGAGGTCTTGGTACGAACTTGGTTTGCAGCTTCCTCTCCGTGCGCGTTTGCGAGGAAGACGCGCGAGACGTTTGAAAAATTACGCGAGGCCAGGCGCGTTGGGCGACCCTGCCGGGGCTTTTTTCGACGCGGCAGCCAGGATCTTACGGATGTTCGGCAATCAATCGCGCGCGTAAATCGACGAATAATTGACGGAGGCGATCATTGCTCGCGTACACCGTGGTGATTAATCGACGTCGCGTACCAGCTGCGGCGTACCAAGTAGAGGACCGCGCAGACGAAGGAGGATTTATTCTCCGGCTCTCGCCCAACCCTCCGACAAGTCCCCTCCTGCTCGTCCTCGAACGACGTGAACGACGAGAAGTGTCTCGTGGTTTTTAAAACCCTCGGGATCTCTCTCTCATCCATGATTTCTCAGTCAGGCTCGTCGTCAAGAGAGCTCGCCGTCGAAAAGGGGCTGCCAGGGGCAGCCAAGTAACGCGAATTGTTAATGTAACGACGCTCGTAGCTCCACGCCTTCATTGTTGATTAAAAGAGAAGCGTAAAAGAAGGACGAGACTGTGTCCGTGCTGTGAAGGCTTACGCGCGCCTTCGTTCACCTTTGAACGATGCCGCGTCACGAGCGATGCAACGTAGAACATGTTCGAGTAACGTTTCTCAGCTCGGTTCTCTCTCGGTTCTCTCTCGGTTGTCGTCATCGCGGGCGAGTGGGAATTTGGAGATTTTGCGCATGCAGCGGCGTCTAAGAGAAATCGAAGCGAGAGGACGTCGAGGATTCGACGATGAAACGAAGTTAAATTCAATTGTACGCGAGACGAAATTGAATTCGTAACGTAATAATACCCGAGTGCCTTTAATTCGTCCCGCGCGATCAATTTGTCCTTCTCGTGATTCGTCCCACGCAAGCGTGCCGCGTCTCTTAACGACGCATAATCCGCGCACTCGTTCTAATATCATTTCGCCCGGATGCTGGAAATAGAAGAAAGAGTTAGCGCGCGTGCTATATGCGCGAAGCCGGGAGCGAGAGATAGAATGCGCACGCTACTTGAACGCCTACGGGGAAGCCCCGAGAGCGAGGGAATTGGGGCGGTTTTCAGCGCGGATCGTATTTTGTAAGGGATAATTGTGTTGCCGGCGGCAATGGAATGCCGGTGACACCGCCGATTGCAAAATTTCCAGTGGATTCTGGTCAGCCGAGTGTTCCACGGTGCCGACGTGGCGCGTTAATGACAGTCGTGTACATGTGAAATATCGCGCGCGCGCGCGAAATATCCGCGAGAACTTGGAGCCGGCCGACACCAGCGATCGCGGTAATTAGCGCCCGCTGCAAATTTCACATTAGCCGGTAAGACCCGATACGAACGGTAATTCGTGTACACACGATTTGGCTGACGCGCGCGACCGTAATTAGACGCGTATCTCTGCTGCAGTAATTTCCTCATGAAATACGCAGTCGTTCGCGCGCGGAGTCCGCGCGGGAGTTACGCGAGCGATCGGCGATCGATCGAGTGCGCGGGCAAGCGAGAAGAAAAGTCCAAAGCGTCGCGTAACGGCGACGCGAAGCGCGGATAGTCCATGACAATCCATTAATCCTCCGGTAGACACGCAGCTTTCTCTCGTGTCAACTTGCCGCGTAGACATGATTCTAGAACGTCAATTGGGAATTTGTCGGGCTGTTGAAAAAATATGCCGACTCTGCAGCAGGAAATGAAATATTGGAAATATCGAAAAACATGAAACTCTCTCTCTCTCTCTCTCTCTCTGTCTCACACTCTCTGTGTCTATCAGAGCGCACCTATCGAGCTGGTTTAATTGCACGATTATTTCCGCTCGTGGCAGCGCCGTAGCTACTACATGTAACGGACGACTCCTGCCTCATGGCCGTTCCGTGCGGCTCTCTAAAATATCGCTGTTCTCTGCTGCGCGCATTCAAGCGCCCCGCGAATATCATGAACTGCGCTGAAACAATCGGTCGTCTGGCGTGACATTGCCAGACGTTGTTACGCTATTGCCCGCCACATCATTTACCGGTGTCTCGCGCCATCGACGCGGAACACACTTTATCGGATTGTTGAAACTTTTCGCGTCTCCGTTCGAGAACGCGCTGTGACACAATGCATTAACGAACGAGAACGAGCGAACGAACGAACGTGCGTATGTACGTATGTATGTAGTATGTACAGAGTACATCGCGTAGTCGCGCGTGCAGAACAACGCGCCGAGGAAATACCCGCGTTTCTGTCGCGCTTTATCGCGAAGCACGGGACGGCAGGCGGGGAAATTCATTTTCCCCCATTTTTTATACCTGAATCTTTTATATCTTTCCTTTATATCTAAATTCATCCACAGCCAGGCGCGCGCGCGTCCTTCGCTTTCGAGATGATAAATTGTTCAACGTAAGAAGCGCGGCAAACGCGCTCATTAGCGTATGTTATAATTATGCATTATCATCAATTATAAGTTCGTCTAACTGTAAGTTTCTCGCGGTAGGGGAGGTTCGGAAAGTGCGGCCGTTACGTTTCCAGGTAGACAGACGCGATGAATAATAAACGCGCGACGGAACGGGCGATAAAGACGCGCGCAAGCGGCTCGAGGAGTAATAAAAGCGACGAATAATTAAAGCCGATCGCCGGGAAAATTTGTGACGCGTATCAGCGCGGCTCGCGAAACGGGGGACGGGCGCGACGGTGGCATGGATCGCGAGACATCGACGAAATTGCGAGGGCCACGAGCGACGACGTTCCGTCGTCTATATCTGGCCGAAGAGGCTTAGCGGCCGACTTTGATCAGCTCCGTCTGCAATTTTGGTCGTTGCGTATTAAGAGTATAAAGGAGAACATCTGCCGATGAAATCGGATACGCGCGTCGTTGTCGAAGTACTTTCCGCAGGAAAGTCAATGAGATCCTTGGTCGACTTTGTCGAGACCAAGACAGTAAGACGGTGGAGTAGGATTTCGCTCGGATGAAATTTATTTCTTTCGCCGATATCCAATATCCGATAAGATTCGACGCTACGACGAATCCAAGCTCATTCGTCCCGATCACTCCGCAAACGCCGCGCCGGTTAAACTTGCCGAACTGTTGTTTGCACAAATTATGGAGGACACTCGTGTCGTTGCGGAGTTGAACGCGCACCGAAACTATATAATAGTCGCAGGAGATGTCATTAAATCCGGGATGTATGTCGGAAGGGGGAGAATCTACAGGGGCTGTAAATTTTCCTTCCCTTTGCTTCCCCTGTCTTTCGTCCCGGTTGATTCTACCGCTTGTGTTGCTACCGCCGGCGTACGGCTAATGCAAAAATCCATGCGCAAACGGGCTAATACGTAACGCAAACCTCGGCTTGTTTGTCATCGCGCTGAGATATTACGCGGGATGGTCTAATATACCGGCGGCTCGCTCGATATTGCATCGGCGCGATATCGTACGTATATATCGGGTACGCATTTACCGTTCGGCAACCGGATACTTCGACGAAAAGCACGTCGGAGTTTCCAGCGACACGTCCTTCCATCGCGAGAGTCTTCGAGCTAACCGACCTCTAGGATTTCCGGGCTGAGAAAAGTTGGCGGGTCATTCGCCGAATTTCTGCCTGCACTTTCGTTGCCGTCGTCAGATTTCGCTGCGACGCGCGACACGCTTCAACGATCGCCGAGTGCCGACTCCGTGTCGCGCTGACAGTGATGTATCACGGTATACGAGGTGTGTCAACAGACTTACACAGCTATTCTCGACTCTACTTGGCCCCACATAATGTATCCCACAGAGTATCCCGACTTTTCTCGACGACATGACGTTGTTTTTCCTCTCGTTTGAACAGTAACCCTTGCTTTTTACATTTGACAATTTTTAAAATTCATCGAGAGAGAGAGAGAGAGAGAGAGGGAGGGAGGGAGAGTAGCTGAGTCCCATCCGCTGCAAGTCCAAATATTGTGCGTCACGAAAGGTCACTACGTTATAAAACAAATGGGATTACGAGCCGATTAATTTTAATTCACCCCAAATGCGACCCACTTTGATGTCTAAGACTCGCGCGCGATCCCGCTCTCCTGAAGCTTAATATTCGATTTTACAGGAATTCAATCGGCCCCGTCTGCCGTGTTAGACTTTGACCGCGAGAAAGTTAACTCCGAATTTGCACAGGAATCTAACAGTCTAATCTAAATGTCTAATCGACCGCGGTCGCGCCGTTTCCGATGCGATCCCCCTGCACAACCCCCGCGCGCGACGCGCGCTATATTTGCCGTATCGATACTCTCGATACTCTGAACTTGAGCCAAGGACGCGGAGGAAGAGCGAGTTTTCGCGTCCCTTGTCGAGAGTGTACCGTCCCGATGAGTAAGATCGAGACACCCCGTTGGGATCGCGACAATAAATAATGCTAAATCTCCAAACAAGTTGGCGGAGTTGGCTACGACGAACGATGAATTGCCTCTCGCGAACGTAGCGAGTTTTGAGAAGTTGGAGTTTATGAGTCGAGCAAATATTGACGAAATAAGTTAGCATGCGCTATCTCGCCGGAGCTTCGCCGTTTGTTGCACCTGCATATTTCCAGCGTTCGCGGTGGCGAAGTTTGGCTGTCGTGTGATTTTTACATAGCGCGCGCCGCGACGACGAAAACAGCCCGAAGGACAGCCGCGCGACTCCCTCGCGACGCGGGCATGTCTCGTCGTCGAGACCTTCGTAGTCGCTTCTGGAGCGATAACGCCGATACGTCCGGATGACGTTATCGCTCCCGCGACGCGACATCTCGTGGAATATCGTCGGCGAGATGGATACGCGGGATGACCGCTTCCGGAATGGGACAGCGCGCAGGAGACCGGAGGCACACACATGTACACGCGACGGGGCGGGAGGGTGGCGGAGAGCGGGGTGCAAACACACGTCGGATGGTGTAACACGCAGGAGGTGGTGAGAAACGGGGACGGTCCCTTAGTGGACAAGAATGCACGCACACTACGTCAAAACATTCCGCCCTCCGCCATCGTTTTATTGATCGCCGATGTAGACACGCGTCTCGAAACACCGACGTGGCCGTACACAGGGAAAGAGGGGTGCGCACACGTATACGTACACGTGCCCACGCGCACACACACACACACACACACACACACACATACACACACACACACACACACACACACACACGCCATGCAACGCGCACGCAAGTGAACCATACCTTGTCGGATAACGCTCGTTCGCTCTTGACAACGCGAATTTTTTCGCGGCGGCGGCGCCTCCTCCCTCGCGAATCCTCGCGATGGTCCGTTCGCTCGCTCGCTCGCGAGATCGTCGCAGCTGCCTGTCGCCTCGTACTCACGTGATTCTCTCGCTAACGAGTGGCCACAATCCTCCTGACGACACGCGAAACACAGGGTGCGTCGAGACTCGCACGGGGTGTCAGGCTGCGACGGCCATGTTGTGGCGAGGGTGTAGCGCCCCTAAGCGACTCTCTCTGAAGCACGGTTCTCTCTCTCTCTCTCTCTCTCTCTCTCTCTCTCTTCCTCTCTCCTCTCACCGCTCTACCACCACCGCCGCCAACGCCGCCGTCGCCGCCGCGCACCCTTTCGTCCACCCACTTAGTCGTTAGTCTGAATGGAATTTTCGATGCGAGAGTCGTTAATCAATCGAGAAACTCGGCGCGATAAACGCGTCGCGCGAAATAAAACGATAATGCAGCTTGGCTCGAAATTAGTCCATATGCTTTTCCCCCTGGTTTTATTTTTAGTCGCAGCTTCTACGAGAGATACGATATATACCGGCATCATTGTTTTTTGCCGGAAATGCCGGAAGAGCTTCCCGTTCATCGCAACACGTCAATCCTTGACACCGTGTGTGACTATCGGTTAATCGGATTAAAATTTGATCACGACGAAATCCGTCGGACACTGACGTAATTTCTATCGAGCGACTTAATCCAATTCGAAATCATTCAATGAATTCATAATGACGCGGCGATTTTAAGATCCTCATGCTTGAAATAGAACACGGGCGCGGGACGAAAGACGGGGGAGAATCGCCTCGGAGGGCGAATTTCCGAGTAGCCTCGGTCACTCGAATATCTTACATCTCCGTCGGTCAAGATTATTATAAAAACGTCCGAAGGACTTTATTCGCGGAGTTCCTGCCGCTCCTCGCGGCCGAGCATTCCTCGAATGTCCTGTGAAGAAGGTAAACCCCTAAATCTTCCCTCGAATGTGCACAGTGCTTACATGTCGCTTGCCGCAGGACCTCGCAAGCTCCTCGCCCCGCCCGCCTTCGCTTTTCCGCCGAACCGATGAGATATCGGCTGCGAGAAGGTATAAAAGAAGACCTTTAATGTCGCGATTTATACCCGGCCTCGCCGGCGTTTCACACCTCGTCCTCACCAGTTTGCTCGTTCACCCTTCGGTTGATGTCTCCCGCGAGAGATTTCGTCTCTTAAACGTATAATGAGACTCGAGGTCTCTCATATTCGGAGCTCACCTCCGTCTTGTCGCGTCGAAACACGCCGTATTGTTTCTCCGCCCCATCCTACCACCACTTCGCGCAATCACGCGGGATCCTCGGGAGAACGTGGGATGTTCTTAATTAAAAATTTACGACGCGCCGCGGCGCACGGCGCCGCATCGTTTCAGACGGTAACGGCAGCAATCGAGACGTCGGATTGCTTCGCTGATGAGCAGTAACCGCGGATGAAAAATTAATTACGCCGCTCTCATTTGTTATCCGTCGCGCCTGCCACGCGAACGCCACGGGATAAAAATCGCCCCCGGACGATATTTTTTTTCTTCGTCGAGAAAGAGTGGTCTCTGAAACCCCGCCGTGCAAGCTGCGGCAGTCTCTATGGTCTCGTACATATCCGCTATTCTCGCCGATCATGTCGCCGGTCCACGAAATCGTCAACAAAAAAGAGAGTGAGAGAGAGGGGGCGATAATATGAGAAAACTATATACACTGTATATAGATGTGAACGCGAGGGAGACTCGGTGCGGTCCGTTCGTCATATTGTCAACGTCGAAAAGATAAATATTTCATAACGTCGCCGAAGACCATCGGCTTCGCGATCGACATCGTCGCCGGCCGCCGCCATCGTTTATTCATTTTCGCGGAGGCGAGCCGTCGCAAAAAATCGCCGGAAAATCGCTGAACTTTCGAGTCCTCGATAATAATGCCGTCGGTAGGAGGTAAAGAGGAGGTAAAGAAAAAAAAACAAAAAGAAGAAGAAGAAGAAGAAGAAGAAAGAATCGACGACGGAAACCGGAGTGATTTTTGCGTCGCTCGTTTCCGCGCGCGTCTCCGATGCCATTACCGCCGCCGCCGCCGCCGCCGCCCCCGCCGCCGCCGTTGTCGTTTTTGCCTTGTTACGTCTTTTCCCTTTTTCCCGGGCGGCTTCGGCGCCGCGCGATAACGCAATCTTTCGTGCGCCGCGCCAGGCGCGAAAGAAAGGGTCGCCGGGGCGAGACGCGTAAAATCGCGCCTGCCTCGTTTCTCATCGCGAATTTTTCCTCTCGTTTTTCGAGCCTCTCGCACGCCGCGCCACGCCGGATTGTTAACGGAGCAGCCGGGACGGGCCGGTTAACAACCTCCGCCAACTTAACTTGTTAATCACACGCAGGTGAGCCGCGCGACTCGCACACAGTCTCGCTCGCACAATGCTTCGTCGTCGAGGCTTAATAGCGCGAGCTGTAATCAACGATCATCAAGTCGCTCTTGAGCCTTTCATTGCGTCAAATTTTCGTCCCCGACTCCCCAGCGGCAGCGACGTGGCTGTCGATACATTAATGAGAGAAGTTGGAGCTCCGGAACGCGCGCGATCTCCGTCGCTGGCGCGATGCGCGACAGATGCACCCCTAGTACCTTAAATTTGGCCGCGGGAAACCGCGCTCAGCGTGGTTGTCGCGCCGGCAACTTGGACCGCTCGTTATTTCCGCAGTTCCAACAACGGTGACGTTCGACTGGTCGCGCGAGTGATCGCATCCGCGAGCCTTCGGCCGCGCGGCCGCGCTAATTAGCGCGGCCGGGTCGAAGCCCCGGGATTTGCGAGTAGCGAAGTATAACTAGCCACTCGCGAGCGCCGCTTTTAACGATGGCCCGGCTTTTTGAGATTTCGGGTCTCTCAGCGGGTCTCGGGCGACATCGATACACAAAGCGAGTCGCGGTCGCCGAAGCGAGAGCGCGTCTCCCCGGCCGTTCGAAGGATCGCTGTTTCGCCGACACGGCGAATTTTACACGTCACCCTATCGAGAAGCATGCCGAAGAGCGCGCTCTTGGAGCATACTTGGCGGTTATTTTAATTAAGCGGAGATCATCCCGACAGCGCGTCATTTTTTGGCGTGTTAGAAGGGCCGGGCTTGGAGGTACTTTGGGCTGGATTTTCGGCCGCTCTTTCTCGGTCGCTCGGAAAGGAGGGGGGGGGGGGCATTATGTGGAAGATAATTCGAATCTACGAACTTTATTCTTTCAGCCGGCGATCGTCGATTCTACCCTCGAATGTTTCACTCGCTCTCTTTCTCTTTCTTCCTCGCGCTCGCGCAAGCTCGCGCTTTACCTCTGAAATGCAATTTCGTTATAAGACTTTCATTGTGCGCGGTCGCAGTCGCATCCGGCGGTGTCGCGATTGACGAGTTTTACGTCCGAGAGTACTTTCTCGAAGGTATTCATTTCGGACAAAGCGACTCGAGCACCCTTGCCTCATCTCCATCCATCCTTATCTCGCGACTTTCGGCCGCATTTCGATGGAGAAAGTATCGTCTCCGAATCGATCGCGAATCGTGCACGAGGCTCCTTCAATTTGATTCTCATTAAAAGTAGCACGGCGCGTGGTGCGCGATCGAGCAATTTCCGAGAGAGACCGCTCTTAATGTTTTCATGATATCAGGTCAAAACTTTCATAGCGTGACAATAAGCGTCGACAGCGACAAAGATATCGGCGAACTATGCTCGGCTGTTGTTTGATGCGTTTCTCTCTCGAAAGCCCGGACGGTTGTTCGCACGTCGTCGACATGTCTCTTTATCGCCCATAAAAAGGTACCTCATAAAGATGATGACGCTTCGACGCGTGTTGACGCGTCTTCAAGCGCGATCGGACATTTCTCACCCTTAAAACTCGTCTGTCGGACGAATCGGCCGAGCGATCGGCAATCGTCAGTCAAGCCGCGTGTTTTTCGGCAGGCACGAATCGATTTGCATTGAGCAACAAAAAAATTGTTTCCACGTTTTCGAACCGGCTAGGTAGTTCGAATCTCCTGGTGAAATCGCTCGCGGAAAACGAAGCTTTTGCACGCGACGCTCGCTTGCGCGAACGAGTCGCCGTGAGCGAAGCGCGCGCCACTGTCAGAAATCGATGCGAGAGAGACGACGCGATCTCTCCCTCTCTTCCACGGCCACCCCCTCCGCCTACTCTCTTCGGTAAGTTAAGCTCCGACTCGATTCAGCTGAGTTCAGTTGCGCCACTCGGCCGTGTGGTTCGCGTGCCGTCGCAAGCTCGCGGAAGCTCTGTCGCGCGCGCGAGATATCCTGAGAGAGAACGATTCTCCCCTTTTTTATTCTCTCCCCATTCGCGGGCCGATTATCTCTCCCCGTTGCTCGCTCTCTTTCTCTCTCTCTCTCTCTCTCTCTCTCTCTCCCCCTCTTCTCTTCTTTTTTTTCTCTCCATTTATTTCCCGCCCTTCCATCTCCTCTCGCTCGAGGAGTGCGCGAAATACACGTACCCGAGAAGAAGAAAAGCTCGAGGGTGAGTGTCGCCGAGCCATCGATGTTTTCCTTCGCGGAGGTCAACGCACGTCACAAGGTAAATAACTCGTACCGCGAACACGGGACACGCTCCCTGTTCGAGAAGGAATTCTTGCCCCCCCCCCTCCCTCCCTCCCCCCCACCCCGCGAACACAAGAGACGATGTGCGATTTTTACAGGGGAAACACGGCCACCCCGCGGGCTTACTTTTAGCGTACTTGAGCGTGCGTTGCGAGCGCGCCGGTTCATTCACAAACGCAACCCGCGCCGAGCACGCGGCAGCGTTTCTACGAACAACCGCGTCCTTACCCTGTTTCCCGTAGTTACTCGCGACCCTTCTCGTCGTTTCGGAAAATTCGATTGTACCGACGACACGACAACGACGACGAGAACGACGTCGGCGGGTCTGCGCGCGTAGTACTGTATCGTTCTCACGCGACCGCGACGTACGTGCACATAGGGCCGATGCATAGGGCCAGCCGTCCGCGACATATATCGCTCTTGCTGGAAGTATAAATTTTAGGGAAACTTCCCTCTAAGTGGCGGGAACCGTAGAGCGCCACAAGGGACGCGTAATGAAGATAATAATTTTGCTGTAGCACCGTACTCCGGGGAAACGACAACTACATTTTCGAGGGTGGCTATCTTCCACCTTGGTTACGAGCGTCGGACGACGCTCGTTGCCAAGACGCGAGCGGCGGAAAAGCAGACGGTCGCGAAGACAAGTTCGTCGAAAGAGCAACTAATTCCGAACACCGGTCGGAAAAGCGGAATCCCGATGTTGCCGGGCGAAATTCTTCACCGAGGTCGAGACAAATTCGACGATGCGAGAATGCTTGGTCTCTCGAATGCTTGCCTTTGTAGCATTGTTTCGACAATACTCAACAATGTTTAACACTTCGCGCTTAACACTGTTTGTACCAACTATTTCGTACCGTTCGTGCAACTCTTTGGCACTGGCATCTCGTGCGAATTTTCGCAAAAATCGATCTGAAACGCAATTTTAGCGCGACCGAATCGTCGAGTCGGACTTTTGAAGTCGCTCGCGTCAGCGGGATATTAAGGAGGGAGGAAAATGTGCCCGCGCGGTTTATTATTACGCGCTCTATAATGCTCCGAATAACGGAGCGCGAATCTGTTCGCAGCCGGGTTACTCTTCAGCCAAAGAGTACGCGCAGACAGCGTCTCGTTTTATTCATTACTCCTTAAGTACTACACCTCTATTACCGCGACGTGGAAACTTGCCGCGATCGGAACTTGCGCCCGGATGCCCGGGAGGAGGAAATTCGCGGATTCCTCGCTGTTGAGTGGCGGTGAATCTTCTTCGATCCCCCGCCGCTGCAAACTTTATTAGAGAAGAGAAAAATGGAGTTTTTCTTATTAAAAAATTGTCGTTAAATCGATGCTGAATGCCGCGGGGTGGTCGAATCACCCACCTCTCGGTCGAGGAAGTCGGAAGGAAAGAGGAAGTTCAAAGGGACGTTCTCGCGTTCACCTTGCTTGAAATTAAGTGTCGCCCGCGACAATAACGCGGAACGCACACACACGTACGTGACGCTCTCGAGCGCGATCGCGAGCCGTTTCTCGAATGCCGATCGCGCGTGTAGCGCGCGCCACGAAGGAAACTTCGTATCGGGGGTTACATCATCGGCACGCGGCCCGGGTAAACCGGGAATCAGCGGTGTTTTCTTACCTCCTGATTGGAGCATTGGTCGTGAGCACGTAGCTCTCCGCGGTGGCTCCCCGAAGTCTCATTCATTGTACGTGCCAGCTCGCTCGCGCTGAATGAAAGCATTCACAACGCCCGGAGCTAACTCCCGTATTCCGCCTGTAGTCGCCGCGGGACGGCGAATTAATCCCCGGCGACGCGGGGGATGCGAAGATTCACACGCGTGATAGCGAGATTTTATTCACGTTCTTACGACGCAGCGCGACGGTTTACCGCGAGACGCGACTATCGATCAGTCGGCCGCTGATACTTGATATTACCATGCGCAAGGTGCTTACCCCGAGCCATTATTTCCGGGCGCGTAATATTTCGCGGCTGCCCCGCGAGTTATTAGTCGTCGTTCGACAGTCGAAATTACGGCGGAAATTCTCATTAAAATTGTGAGCGTGTACAGGCGGGCTGGAGTGTGCAGCGTGTGTGCGTCTAGCACGCGGCTTGCCGCGTGCGGAGTGCCTCCTCGCAGGATTGAATACGCGGCGCGGAGGCGCGACCTCGGCGGGACCGGCGAGAAGGTATCTCGCGATTAATCACCGCCACGTTGCATATCGATATTTCGCTCGTAATTGCGATCTTATGAAACATCGTCCGTATCCGCCGACGTAGCGCGCGTATCGCGCGCGTATACCGTCGCTAATGATAAAGGGATGCTTGGCGGTCAAAGAGCGCATTGGCCCGCGAGGTATCCTTTTAAGGGCGAGCGTGAGCTACGAAGGGACACACCGAGATCGATTCGGCACTTGGAGTGCGACCGACAGAAAGCGACCTCATAATTAATCACGCTGATTCCTCACCGATCCGTCGCGCCAGAGAGGGAGGGGCAGGAAGGGGAACGTGGAAAGAGAACCAGAGAGAGCGAGAGAGAGAGAGAGAGAGAGAGAGAGAGAGGGAGAGAAAGAGAGAGGGAGAGAAAGAACGAACGCGGTAATTTTTCTCTTCTATACGACCGTCCCGCTCCGTCCGGCCGTGCTATCGAAAATCCGACGGACAGTTGCCGGCGTCGGCCTTTCGTTCTCGCCCGTTGCGGCTTAGTCGGGCTCGATCCCGAAGTCCGAGAACACAACTGGGAATTTCATCCGCGAACAATTTCAATCCCGCCCGGGATTCCACGGCTCTCCCTCTCTCTCTCTCTCTCTCTCTCTCTCTCTCTCTCTGCCGACTACCGCAGCCACCTTCGAGCTATTGAATCGTACGAAGAGGCTGTTGGCCGCGATAACGCTCGTATAAATTAATGAGGTGAAAAGGCTGGTCTGGGCTACGGAATTACACGAAGCTTCGAACCTCCGTCTGCCGGAAACGCGCCGTTTGCCGGATTCCTCGTGGCCGAACAAATGGCCGCTCCGTGAGCGGCCGGCCGAGCGCGCGTACACTTGCCGCTCCGTGAGCGATGCATCATCTGCTTTGCGATTAGCTGCCGGGATCATGCGGCGGACGTAAGGTGAAAAATACGACGGCCCCGGCGGCGATGGCGCACGTAGGAAACACGCCCACGGCCCACGCAGTTTCGGTTTTAACGACAGCAGATTCGATTTGCAATGTCTCGCGTGTAGTACGAATGGCCTCTCCCTCTCTTTCTCTCTACTTCTCCCTCGGCATCTTCGCCTTAGGAAATATTGCGGCACACAGTTACCGGCGGCACGGAAAGAATTTAAACGTCCCGGCCCAGAGAGGAAACGTGCCCTTCGGCCAGCGCCAAGGGCTTGCTTCCCTCGACCTTCGTGTTAAGCCCCTGTGCGCGGCCGGCGCACATACATCAAACTGCCGTGAATAAATTTCAGGACCCGCGGAAACTGCCGTCCCACCTGAAACGTGCTGTTGTTGGATTCCCGAACTCGAACTCTCGAGCAAGATGAAGCTTTAGCTCCTAACGTCTCTTTTTCTTCTTTTTCCTAAAACGACGCAGCTGTCGGACAGCTTGCAATTATCTCTCGAATCTCGTTGGATCCAACTTCCATTCCTTATTCGTTATCATTTTGCAAGCACCGTAAAGACGCTCCCGAGTTGTCCGGAATACTCGTGGCTCGTCAGTCGATCTGTTATCCGAGACGGGATCGGAACTCTCCAACACCCGGCGAACAGGCGGAAAGTCGATTCCGATCGCGGAACGAAGCTGCGCGATAGTCTCTCACCCCTGAGAAAAGGCTGTGCTCTACCCAGTTGGAAATAGACCGATCCCGCGGCAGACTCGAAGATAGTCTGCCGAAGACACGAGCGAGGCTCGCGATCGGAGGAGCTCGCGTTTCCGCCTCGGAATCGTAAATAGTTCGATAATAGCTCCCCGGCCTCCCGGGGGATCCGCGAGACGGAAGACGGGAGGGGCGGGAGGGAATCGAACGCGGCGTCGGTGGGAAGAAAGCCGCGTCGCGCGGAATTTATTCCGGCTCTCGGCGTGTTTCCGCGCGCGCGCGCGCGCGCCACTCCCATCGCTCGCGCACCGTCGAAGGGCTTTTACCACGTCGGCTGTGTCGGCTGAAATTTCGCGGGACGCGTGCTCGATTTAAGTGCCAGGTGCCAGACGGGCGCGAATGGAAGCGCGCGCGGGTACGCCGGGCGCGTATCCCCCATCTGACACGAGACGGACGTGTTTACGCGTGTCAGGCCGCATGAGCGAGGCGCACAGGTTCGCGAGGACTTTTCTTCTTCAGGCTTCCCGATCGCGCGCTGGTAATCTCGCGATCGAGCGCGTCCCCCCGCGCTTACCTCGTCGCACTCGATCAGATTGCCGTCGTTATTACTTCGCCGTGCTCATCTCAAAGCCACGTCGTTCTCTCGCGGGTCTGTAATCAGCGGGATCGCGGAGTCTCCAACTGTACAAGACCGCCCGCGCCCGGTCGTCTCCTCGCGGAAGACGCGTCACGATTTCTCAGACCGAGCCGCGTCTCATCCCCTCGCACCCTCTTTCGGTGACTGGAAACCCGTACAAGTCGCGCGCGTCTTTCATTTTCCGTGGCTGGATACGACTTCCTCGGCAGCTCGACTTTGGTGTGTCCGGTTTGACGTTTGTACTCGTCGGACCTTCATCGCGTACGTCAGCCTCTGCTGCCCCTGAGCCGAAAATTTGGCGACGCCGACGGACTGGGTATCTCCAGCGAGCCCCTTGAAGGTTCATCAGTTATGCATGGAAATAACCGGCGGAAAAGTTGATAATCCGAGTTCTCGTCGCCGAAATCGAATTCCGGAGCCGTCGGTGTATCTGGCTGGCCGAACGAGCGGGCTCAACTCGATTGTGCGACATCACAAACGGCCTCGATGATCTCGAGATCACTGCGAGCTGAGCAGCGACGCGCTCGCAGCGTACGCGCGCTAATATATGCACGCGTTCTCAGCGTGAA